ATGCCAGATGGAATACATAGGTATCAGATCAAGTACATTTGTGGAAAGAAGCGATAGAGAAGCTCAGTATCTTCAGCCAAAACAAGGGTAGGAGCTGACTGTGAAACAGACTATCAACTGCTCATATGCAAGTTCAAGTTGAAGCTGAAGACAATTAAAAGAAGTCTATGAGAGCCAAAATATGACCTTGATTATATCCCACCTGAATTTAGAGTCCACCTAAAGAATAGATTTGACACACCGACCAAAAATGACTGAAACCAGATGAATTGTGGGATGACATCAAGAACATCATTTGTGAAGAAAGCAAAAGATCATTAAAATGACAGGAAAGGAAGAAAAGACTAAAATGGATGATAGAAGAGACTCTGAAACTTGTCCTCTAACGGCGAGTAGCTAATGCAAATGGAAGAAATAACAAGACAAAGAGCTAGACGGAAGATTTCAAAGAGCAGCTTGAGAAGACAAAGTCAATTACTATAATGAAATGAGCAAAGACCTGGAGTCAGAAAACCAAAAAGGAAGAACACATTCCAGAGTTCTCAAGCTGAAAGAATTGAAGAAAAGATTCAATCCTCAAGTTGCAATACTGAAAGATTCTATGGGCAATATACTGAATGATACAGGAAGCATCAACAGAAGATGGAAGGAATACACAAAGTCACTGTACCAAAAAGACCTCGTCAATGTTCACCCATTTCAGGAGGTGGCATATGACCAAGAACCAATGGTATTCAAGGAAGAAGTCAAAGCCACAGTAAAGGAACTAGTGAAAAACAAGGCTCTAGGAACTGATGGAATACCCACTGAGATGTTTCAACAAATGGATGCTGTGCTAGAGGCACTCACTTGTCTATAATAAGAAATCTGGAAGACAGCTATCTGGCCAACTGACTGGAACAGATCCATATTTGTGCCCATTCCAAAGAAAGGTAATACCATAGAATGTGAAAATTATCAAATAGCATCATTAACGTCACACGCAAGTAAAATCTTGCTGAACATAATTCAAAAACGGTTGCAGGAGTATATTGACAGGGAACATCCAGAAATGCAAGCTGGATTCAGAAGAGGATGTGGAATGAAGGATATCACTGCTGATGTCCAAGGATCTTGGCTCAAAGCAAAGAATACCAGGAAGATATCAATGATATCACATGCAAGTAAAATCTTACTGAAGATAATTCAAAAATGGTTGCAGCAGTATATTGACAGAGAACTTCCAGAAATGCAAACTGGATTCAAAAGGGGATGTGGGATGAGGGATATCATAGCTGATGTGAGATGGATCTTGGATCAAACCAAAGAGTATCAGAAAGATATGTACTTGTGCTTTATTGACTATGCAAAAGCATTCAATTGTGTGGACTTGCCAGCCTCCTTGAAGACTAAGGTGTGCCTAACCCAAGCCATGGTATTCTCAATTGCCTCATATGCATCTGAAAGCTGGACAATGAATAAGGAAGACTGAAGAAGAGCTGATGATTTTGAGTTGTGGGGTTGGCAAAGAATACTGAAAGTACTATGGACTGCTAAAAGAACTAATAAATCTGTTCTGGAAGAAGTGCAGCCGGAATGCTGGTCGAAGCTAGAATGGCTAGACTTCATCTCACCTACTCTGGTCATGCTGTCGGAAGGGACCATTCCCTGGAGAAGAATATCACGTCTGGTAAAGTGGAGGGTCAGCAAAAAAGCAGAAGGTTCTCAAAGAGATGGACTGACACATAGCTGCTGCGATGGGCTCAGGTACAGCAAGGATTGTGAGGCTGGCGTAGGCCCAGGCAGTGTTTCCTTCTGTCGTACATATGTTTGGTACGAGTCGCAGCCAATTCGATGGCACCTAACAACAACAAGAACATGTATTTACCATGCCTTGGAGAAGGATATCATGCTTGGTAAGGGATAGGCCTTCAGTGGGAAGGATTCACACAATGGCTGCAACGACAGGCTCAAGAATAACAAGGATTGTGAGGTTGGTACAGGACGGGGCAGCGTTTCCTTCTGTTGTATATCCGGTCATTATGAGTCAGAGCCGACTTTATGGCACCTAACAACAACAACAAAATGCATTTACTGCTGTCATCTTGCTGAGTTTTTTTGTTTTTTGTGGGGTTTGTGTATGTGGTGCTGATGATTTCTTTGGGTTGATTACAGAACATTTTTGAAAGACAAGGGAAAATGTTAAAAGAATGAAACTACGGAAGTATGCTAGCTAGCTCCATGATATCCATCAACTTTAAAGAAAATAACACAAACTCATTCATAAAACAAACTTTAGCTCTTTGGGAATACACTGCATCAAACAGACATTATCCAGAACTAAGTGAATGACTTTAATACATTTTCTCTCTTCCAAATAATTAATAGGTACCATGAGAAATCAGTAACAGAAGTTTTCAGAGAGAGCAATGATAACATAATCGTTTTGGACAACAGCATTCATTTATAAGTGGCAAAATTCAAAGGACAAAATAGGTTTTGTCCAAAGAAATTGAAATCAGTGAAAAGAAGAATGCTTTTAGGCAGATGTGTAACACTGTACAACTAAGTATCTGAGAAAAAAAGTCTGTGAAATATCCAAAGAAGAAACATAAAAAGCCGGGTCTTCCTGAAATGAAAGAGCAAGGCATCATTGTTAAGAACCAAAACCAGTTGCTGTAGTGCTGATTCCAATTCATCGAGACTCCAACGTGTATCCTAGTAGAACCTTGCTATTTAATAGGGCTTTCAATGACTGATTTTTCACAAGTCGAGCCTCATGCCTTTCTTCTGAGGTTCTTCTGAGTAGACATGAACCTCCATCCTTTTGAGTTAGCAACCAAATGTGTTAATCACTTGCACCGCCCAGGAACTATTGAAAACAAAGGTACCATAAAGACGACCCCTCCCCAAGCATTTAGTTTCACAGGTTTTATGTACCTTAAATTTGTGTTTGATGATCCTAACTTCTAATAAAGCATGTGGGTCCTTAGCATAATGAATACAGATTAAGGTTCATAAGAAATATACTGTTAAGATTATAACACCTTGAACTGGAAGGACATACAATAGTAGATGCCTTTGAGATAATAAAAGGTCTAGAAGAAGAACAAAGAGGGCCTCAACATTCCATAATGTTCTAATTGTTTTGCATTAAAAATTGACACTAAGGTGACAAAATAGTATTTAATTTTGGTGGCCAGGATATGGATACAATTTGCAACTCTTCTTATTTTTCTGATCTTTAAATTTAAAATGAGAAAGAAAAAGAGAGAGAGAGAGAGAGTTAGGGTTACCACAGGAAAACATTACATTAAAAGGCATCCTCAGCTCACATTTCACTGTCCTCCATTTTAAAAAGTCTCAACCAGTTCAGCCCACACACAAAAAAACAACTACACAAAGAATCATTTACAAAGGTGTTATTGGTTGAATATAGTTTCACACACATTGTAAGATTGTTGTTGTTGTTGTTATGTGCCATCAAGTTGTCTCCGACTCATAGTGACCCCTCCTTGGGTTTCCAAGGCGGTATCACTATGGAAGTAGATTGCCCAGTCCTCCTTCCGACGAGCGGCTGGTGGGTGTGAACTGCCAACCTTCTGGTTAGCAGTCAAGTGCCTTAGGCACTATGCCACCAGAGCTCCCATTAAAATTTTTTTTTTTCATTTAATTTGGTTTTTTTAGAATACTGTTATTTTTATGTTATGAAACAGATTAACAGAAATAAAACCTCATTTTATAACAGGAGTTTTAAGACTAATAGTGTAATTCATGATGACGTGATCTTGTTATTTAGGAATCAATTATATAGTAAACGGATATACCTATCTAAGACTACTGTTATGGGCTGAACTGTGCCCTCTAAAAATATATATTGTAAATCCTAACCCCTACACTTGTGGAATAATCCCACTGGGAATAAGGTTTCTTCGTTATATTAATGAGGCAATGTCACTATACAGTGTTAAGTCTTAAGCCAATCACCTTTGAGATATAAAGAACAGGTTAGGCACATAGAAGCAATCATAAATGGAGTGGAGATGCATGCCACATGAAGATCACCATGAAAATGGGAGCAAAAAGCTGAAAAGAAACAAAAACTTTCAAAGTGGTGTGGTTGGCTACCATCTTTGAGAAAGGTAGCACTGCTTCAGCATTCTGAATTTGGACTTCTAGTTTCCTAAATTGTGAGAAAACATAATTTGTGTTTTTCTGTTATAGCAGAATATGTGGTATTTCTGTTATAGCAGCACTAAGAAACTAAAACTAGTAAAGAATCTTTTAATGTGATAAAAAAATTTATAGGCACTAACATGTTACTAGGAGATCTGGTAGCATAGTGCCTAAGGTATTTGACTGCTAACCAGAAGGCTGGCAGTTCAAACCTACCAGCCACTTCTCACAGAAGGAAGACTGGGCAATCTACTTCCATAGAGATACCATCTCGGAAACCCAAGGAGGGGTCGCTATGAGTCAGAACCGACTCAACGGCAAGTTTGTTTTTTTTTTTTTAAATGTGACTTTTAATCTTGCTGGCTTTAAAATAGTATTCCCCAATAGTTCTTACTGGATCAATTATGTCTCCACCTTCTAATATATTAATCAAGTCCTCATAAATCAAGGTTCAGAAAATATGCTCAAGTCCAAATTGTCTACTTTTTTACATTTTGAATGTCCCTTAGTTTTTGAGATTTGAGATTAAGGAAAAAAGCTGTTTAGAACATGATAAAATAAAGTATGGCATCAGGAACGTCCTGCAAAATATACAGGCAATTAAAGAGTAAAGAAGCGAGTTTAGGCCATAAGCAAAACAATCTTCTCAGAGAATCACAAATACAAAACATAGCAGACAATCCACAGACAAAAAAGAAAATCGTGGGGATATATCTAAGAAACAGATGAGGTTTTCGGGAAAACGAGCCTGCAAATCCTCTGGCAAAATGATTCTCTCTCTCACTGCTTCTTTAGATTCAAACACATACCTATAAACCATAAGAAGCACAACATGGAAGTCATACCTTTCAGGCCTAAAGTCTGCAACTGAAACAGCTTTCCCAGCTCAAAAGGTAGAACTCGTAACAGGTTGTTATTTAAATGGAGTTCCCTGTTGATGTAAAAATTCCAGGAAGTCAGAAGACATTTTAACTTTTAACTAACAGATAAAATGTACAATATAATTTCTGGAATACAAACTTCTAAGAATGACAAAATTTCGTATTATATTCCATTGTCTAGCATAGTGGGCTTAAACTACAAAAGTTACTAGAAAAATAAAATGAGAAAAAAGTACACAATATAAGCCCAAAGTTTTAAAAGTCGTTAATTCGATAGGTATGAAGTCACTCTTAATTGCTGTACTTATCTCACTGCAGATTGGTGACAAAGTTGCAAACTGATACCAGACCACAGACCACCCTATGACTCTTGGTCTAGCACACCTGGGATCTACTACACAGGTTTAAGAAAGTGAAAATGATAAGGCAGTCTAATGTGCAAATTGTTCAAAGAGACATCAAATCATCACGTAGTACCAACTCAGAGAAGCTTGTGACAGCTGTATAATTAAGCTTATGATTGATATTGCTCTAAACTTATTAGTTTCATTTTGGAAATAATAGCAGTCATCTTAACTACTAATGATTATTTTAATTATTTGTTTTGCACAGATAATTATATTATAAATATCAAAGGAGTCTTCAATGGGGGGTGCAAACACCCAACACTGCAATAGTAGCAATTTCCTACGTTTTATTTATTAGTTTTTAAGTGTGAAGGAGAACTACTTCTATAATCTTTGGTTCACCTTGGTTACTCCTGAGCAAACCAGAGGATGGTGAAGCCATAAATTGAACAAGAGAAATAGTTCTGAATAATTGGTTCCTGTTGATTTCCAAATATATCATGTGGGAAAGGAGGTCTTTTAAGTAAATCTTGTTTAGGGGATTAAAAATGATATAGTATATACTCAATAACTAAGCTTATAAAAATGTGAAAGGGAGGCAAAGAAAACAAAACTTTTAAAAAGCTCATTCCTCATTGCTATGTAGCAACTGGCAGAAGGCAGCAAAGCCTGTGGAACAATGGAGAAAAGGCAGGGAATATGAAATGGGGCAAGATTTTCCACTGGGGACAGCAGACTAGGAGAATTTTGGCTTTATATTCAACTTGGCTGCTTCTCATCTACCTTATGAAACAGAGGTTATAAAATTCTCACTCCTTAGAAGTGGGAATGGCCAGACTTCACTGCTCATACTTTGGTCATGTTGTCAGAAGGGACCAGTCCCTGGAGAGGGGTATCATCTGGTAGAGAGGGTCAGCAAGAAAGGGGAAGATCCTCAATGAGAAGGATCGACACAGTGGCTATGACAGTGGGCTTAAACATGGTAATGACTGAGGATGGCACAGGACTGGGCAGTGTTCCAGTCTACTGTACATAGAGTCATTATGAGTTGAAACCAACTTCATGGCACCTAACAACAACAGTAAAGAAAACAGTAACTACCATATATTAAATACCAGCATACTCCAGGGTAGGGCTATTTTACCTATTTCTTCAAATATACTTCATTTCAGACTTTGCTGAGTAGGTATCATACAACTTTACAGATGAGGAAACAGGCTTACTGAAGTTAAGAACCTTACCCAAGATCACACAACATGTAAATGGCAAAGTCAAGATTCAAATCTGGACTCCATATGACTGCAAATTCCATGTTCTGTATTTTACACCTGACTATAACTCCCCAAATTCAACTAATTCTAGTTTTTTCAAATTTAGGCTTCAATACAGTCATGCATAAAAGCCCTGGGACAGCAAAAGGATTTTGTGGTTTCCTGGACTCTGTGTTAAGGATCATGTTACCTCGGCATTTAGTGGGATAAAGCACTAGAATGATGAGGGCAGTATGTCACAGGTGAGTGTTTGAATGGAATAATGTAATTGCCTTATATTTGCTTACCCCACTTTATCTCAAAATTTTGGTTCAAGAATAAAGTATGTTACACAAAACATAACAATTAAAATATAAAAAATAAGGCAATAGATCTACTTAATTTATTCTGTTTTAGATGACATTCAATCTTTCCAGAAAATTTAACATGAAAGATATAGTTACGTTTACTTTTGTTCAAATATCATCAAATTTATAGTGCTTTTTCAAAACAAAACTAATGCTATACTTTGTTTCACAGGTGGTTATAGTTAGGTTCTAAGTTGAATCTGCATACCTGAGTGATACCATGTTTCCGAGTTCTGCAGGTAAACTACGAATTTTATTAGATGACAGGTCCAGATACACCAGATTGTGAAGCTTGGCAATGTCTGAAGGAATGCGGGACAGGGAATTGTCACTCAGATGCAAAGCTGTCAAGTGAGTTAGGGACCACAAAGATGAGCTTAAGCTTCTTACTTTTCCTGTAAGAGAAAAAAAGATAATATAATGTTCTTTACAATTTGGTTTCTAGATTAAGTAAGATTTAGCTGTTTTGACGAATAACCTAAAATAATTTATATTCCTGGGAATTAATGGGAAAAGGGGAAACCTTACCTGTTTAAAAGCAATTCTCTGCTATAATTATGTTATAAATTCTGCACTTAGCATATTAAAATAAAATAAAAGACCAATACTTAGATTGCATTTTTATTTTTAAGAGCAAAATAGGAAGGATTTATCTGTTAAAATGACCTCAGATTTGCAGAATGACATATGAAGAGCTGGGATGTTGTCACTCCCATTCTCAAAACAAAAAAGATGAACAAACTAAAAATCAACAACTCTTCTTAGACCCATCAGAAAATTGAAATCAGCAAACTGCTGCCCCCGTAACTAAGGAGACAGAAAAGTAAATAGAGAATCACAGTTTACAGAAAATAGAAGTACAGGAACACAAGCCCAGAGCGAGAGCCAGTATGTGGAAAGACGTTAGACTGTGAATGATGAATTGCTGGAGACACAATGTGGACTAACTTGGGAGTAAAAAATCAGCGATAAAGTGTCAGGGGTGGGGGGAGAGGGGAACAGCTTTTGGAAACCCCTACCCTTTACACCACTCATCTGTCAGTTTGTCACACTCTGGTGGTTTGAGCGTTACTCTGAGGCTATGCCACTGGTATTTCAAACACCAGCAGGGTCACCCATGACAGACAGGTTTCAGCAAAGCATCCAGACTAACACAGACTAGGAAGAAGGATGGGGCCATCCACTATGAAAAAACTGGCCACTGAAAATGTTATGAATAGCAATGAAACATTGTCTGTACAGTACCAGAGCATGAGCCCCTCAGATTGGAAGGCACTTAAAGTACAAATGGGGAAGAGCTAGCTGTCTCCTCATAAGAGAGTTGATCTTAATGACGTGAATGGAGTAAAGCTTTTGGGATCTTCATTTGCTGATGGGGTACAACTCAAAATGGGAACAGAGAGGTGCAAACATTCATTAATAATTGGAATATGGAATGTACGAAGTACTAATTAGGAAAATTGGAAGTTGTTAAAAATAAAATGGAAGGCAAAAAGATCAATATTATAGGCATTAGTGAGCTGTAATGGACTAGTATTGGCCATTTTGAATCAGATAATTATATGGTCTACTATGCCAGAAATGACAAATTGAAGAGGAATGGTGTCACATTCATCACCAAAAAGAACAATTCAAGATCTATCCTGAAGTACAATGCTGTCAGTGATAGGATAATATCCATACCTCTGTAAGTAAGATCAGTTAATACTACCATTATTGAAATTTATTCCACAATCACTAAATCCAAAGATGAAGAAACTAAAGATTTTTAGCAACTTCTTGAAAAAGACCAAATAGGCAATCAAGATGCACTGATAAATACTGGTGACGGGAATGCCAAAGTTGGAAACAAAGAATCATCTTCAGCTGTTGGAAAATATGGCCTTGATGAAAGAAATGATGTTGGAAATCTCATGATAGAATTTTGCAAGACCAACAACTTATTCACTGCGAATAATTTTCAACAACATTAACAGTGAGTACATGTGGATTTCACCACATGGAATACAAAGGAAACAAATAATTACATCTGTTGAAAAAGATGATAGAGAAGTTCAATATCATGAGTCAGAACAAGGCCAGATGCTAACTGTGGAACAAACCATCAACTGCTCATATGCAAGTTAAATCTGATGCTAAAGAAAATTAAAACAAATCCATGAGAGCCAAAATAATACTGATTATATTCCACATGATTTTAGAGACCATCTGAATAACAGATTTGATGCACTGAACACCAATGACCGAAGACCACATGAATTAAGGGATGACATCAAGGCATCATACAAGAAGAAAGCCAAAGGTCACTACAAAGACAGAAAAGATCAAAATGGATGTCAGAAGAGACTCTGAAACTTGCTCTGGAACAGAGAATAGCTAAAGCAAAAGGAAGAACTATAAAGTAAAAGAGCTGAACAGATTTCAAAGGTTGGCTCAAGACAAAGTAAGTTATTACAATGAAATGTGCAAAGACATGAGTTAGAAAATTGAAAGGGAAGAACATGCTTGGTGTTTCTCAAGCTGAAAGAACTGAAGAAAAAAAACTCAACCCACAAATTGCAGTACTGAAGGATTCTATGTGCAAAATATTGACCATTGCAGGAAGAATCAAAAGAAAATGGAAGGACTACAGAGTCACTATACCAAAAAGAATTGGTTGGTATTCAACCAATTAGTCCATAGTCCAAGCTGCACTGAGGGAAATGACAAAAAATAAAGCTCCAGGAAGAGAAAGAATATTCATTGAGATGTTTCAACAAACATATACAATCCTGGAAGCACTCACCCATTTATGTCAAGAAATTTGGAAGACAGCTACCTGGCCAACCAACTAAAAGAGATTCATTATTTGTGCTCATTCCAAATACAAGTGATCCACCAGAATGTGGCAATTATAGCAAAATACCACACTCAAGTAAAGTTTTATTAAAAAGAATTTAAAAACAGCTGCAGCAATACATCAACAGGGAATTGCCAGAAATTCAAGCCATATTCAGAAAAGGATGTAGAACAAGG